GTTTGACCTAGTTTCCGTATTAATAACACTTGTGCAAATTTCCATCGTTACGTTGTTGCCACCCGACGCGCTACATTCCACAACAATCCAATCTCGCCCTTCACAACAAACTATATTGCGTGTAAAATTTTCACAAAGCTCAACTTTGCATCTTTGTAATGGCCGATTCCCGGAATATTTCATGATGGGATGTAGTGTGTCGACTTCGCTACATAAAGTTTCACGGCCTCTGTCCGGTTTCCCCGTTTCCGGGTTTTATGGCGGGTAAAAGTCGAGCAACAATAAAAACTTCTTGGGTGGCGCCACCAGTTGCTCGCGTGGTACTTCCAAGAATGCGGAGGGTTTTAGGAGCTTCTAACGACACGTAGGGAAGTTTTTTTATTGTTTTCGTGCATGTATCAATACCGTTATTGATTGGGCTAATGTTTTAGGGCGTCATTAACGTAAGGTTACTTTAATGGCTTCCGACAGTTGCGAAGGGTAATGTTTTTTTTAATGCACACCAGCTGCGTGACTCAGATATCAGCGTAGTCAGCGATTAGCGAAATGTAACTCCAACTACCGATCACTACCGATTCATTTTTAATGATGCTTGTATCACTCGAGGATTATCTGTAAGCTCGGATTATTTCCATCCGACGAATTGATCGTCGTTTTTACTTTAATACGTTCCAGTGGTTTCCACGCTCGAGCGACCGCACAAACAAGCAAGATAATTTATATTTCTTATCTAATATTTAGTTTGTTTCACCGCTAGTTTGATAGAAAATTCGGTTTTAAAGTTTGCGTTAATTCCGATAGCGACGGGTACGTGTTTACACAACCTGGAGCTCGTCCACAACGTGTATTCAAAGCTTGACATTAACAACGGTATCTGCATACAAAACGCGATGCAACGCAAAAAATCCGACACCGATAGCACGTCTAGTAACCGAGCAAAGTCAATTTAAACTTTTTTTTGTTTGTGAGTTGTTTGCGGCACTACACACGGTGCAGAGGTGGCGGTAATAACGAATCAACTAGCCTTCCAGATGCAGAATTTTCCACAGAATACAGCCGCTTTTGTTTGAAAGTCGCCGGATTGATAGCAGCCGCGTGGATCACTTTTAAAGTCCGAACCGAAAAGTCAAAAAGTTTAAAATTTGTTTAAAACGTGATCTGTGTCCACCCGAGTGGCCGGATTTCGCTCAAATTGCGTATATTTGTTGTCCGGGAGGTGTGTTTGGAGGTGTCAAGAGCGTTTGCTTCGACGCGCATTTTCCGTTTTTTTCCACAGCGGCTGGCGAGTCGATTGTTCGTAGCCGCCCACGCCTCCGTCTCCTTATTAAATCTTCTCCTTAAGTGAAAAACGAGAGGCTACAATGTCCACCTACGACATACGTGTCGCGATGATTTCGTGCCGGGGCTCCGTCATGCATAAAATCCGCTTAGGAGGTTTTAAAGGAACGCTGTCGTAATGGCGATAGCGCTTGAAGAATTGCGCTCTATTGTGATGCCCTCTTTTGATTCCAGCAATTAACATATTTCCACTCCGCTCCGATGAAGACGCGCTCCCCCTAATCCGTCCAAATATTGACTTTCTGAATACCCTCTTAAATATTTAATACGCACGTAACAATAACTTTTACGCAGGAAAAAGCATAAAATTCGCTGGTGGAAACGAGGTCGTCGCTTAAATTTTAGTGGCGATTTTCATGCATTATTAATAAAAATAATTGGACCAGACACATGCATGGAAAATTAAGCGGCGCTGTCGACGAACAAAAGGCCCATTATTGAGGGAATTGCTAGCCCATCGACGCCGTAATAAATTTTGATCGATCGAAAAACCGAGCAAGTGCTTACACCACTAGTCGCCGAAGGTCGAGATTATGTGCAACTAACCGCTCGCGAATAACAAATTTCATCTTGATTCGTCCCCCATAATTGGATTCTGGCGGTTTCAAAGAGCGCCCTCTGATCTCCGATGATGGCGGTTTAATTGGGTTTAAACTAGTTTATCGCTTGCAGATCGACACGGAAGGTTGTAGCGAGATGTAGTCTGACTGCACGCGGCTTTCATACCCGCAGCGGTCGCGGGGTGTGAGTGAGATGTAACGTCGCGGCTTTTTCTTGCGAAACCTCGGCGTTGTCGAAGCGCTTTAATGAGCGTCGCGTCCCATTATCCTGTTTGTAGTAGGCGTGTGTTTTGTGTACCTCGCGAACGTGCTACTTTTGCGCTCTTAGCCGGAGGGAGCTTTAATGTTGGCAGTGTCAACACGCCCCGGGACTGGAATTAACAAGCCGGCCGTAATCAGCTAACAACTCCCTCGAAATAAGTGTATCTATTTATTTGTGTTGTGGAGGAAAAGTTACAAGCGAGAACGGTTGTTTTGTTGGCCAGACGTGCTCCGGCAAGTGGAAAAACGCCGCCGAATGAACTCGTTAATTAGCTCGCGCCGCAAAAGGCCGACATCTTGACGATTTGCATTTATATTCGAGCGTGCGAAAACAAACTAAATTCGCAGACTTTCCACTACTTTTCTAATACGCACGGAATTTTTCGGCACGAACCCGAATTAGTATTCAATATTTCCATTGTTTGTGAGGAGAACCGAACACGATAGATTCCATCTTCGACAAGGCAACAATACGCCGCACGAATTTCGGCAAACTGTACCCGGGTGTGTATGTTTACACGTTAGATTTTTATTTATTCGGGTTGGCACGACCTTGGCGGTCGCGCCAATCGATTTAAGTTGAAATTTTACGGCCGGATTCTTTTCTCCACATTTCGAGCAATTGCCGCAATGAAGAATTCATAAGGATTTGGAAAAAATTTGCGTGCGTAGATGGCTGCTAGAATATTCACACTTCGGAAAAGTCTATCCCGTATTCATGTTCGAGAGTATTCGTTCTGAGCAATTGAATTGTAGGCGGTTACGTGGGTGCGACCAGATGGAGCCCGAGAGCGTCCCCGGGAGATCCCGCGACCCGAGACCCACCGGCGCCGACGCAAATCACGTTTTAAACCGACTTTAAACTTTTTGAGTTTGGCGAAAAAAAGTTTAAAAGTGATTTACTCCCTCACCGTTAACACTACAAACTCCAGATAAAGACCACCCGACTCTCCTAGAAATCCTCTACAATGTAGGTGAAACACACCCCATTGTCGCCACCCTTCCCCGAGATATCGTCGCGCGTGTCGCAAAAAAGCACGTTCTTTTAAAACGTGATCTGCGACGTTGTTCAAACCGCTATCGACGCCGGGTTTTCGCCATTCCGCGACACATCGTCTCTAAATACCGCCGTCGGTGGTTAAACGGCCGCCTTATGAGCCTCGAGCGACGCGCATCACACTAAAGACGTCTCAATTTTTTGCTCAATCATTCACACCCGTGTCATCCTCCGCCTGCGAGCCCGATCCTTCTCGTCCGCCCGCTATTGAATATTTATCATTCAAGAAAATGTGTAGATATTTATCATTCCGGCGTATAAATTTCGTTCTCACGCTCGGCGAGTGGCACCTTGGGAGCCATAACGACTTGTAAGCATGCTAACTTATGATAATGCGATCGCAAATCTACAAAACGAACTAATAGACCCATCCCTCGTCACGGCGCATCATCTCCTCGTAGCCGCCTCCATCCGTCATGGTAAACGTTCACGAAACACCGCGAATGCGATTCCTGTCGCCGCTCCATCATCTCCAACATATCAATATCATATTGACACAACAGCGTCGCAAATAAGAGAAAATAAGAAAATCACCGCCCCCGAGGCAATTTATATGCGCGGGGCGAGGGGAAATTCGATTTCCTCGGTCTGCATGTGTTCGCGATCTGACCCAGTGCCCTTTGACATTCGACGGAGATGATGGAGGTTTCCGGTAGCCTTAATACCGTTTTTTCGCAAAGGCCAGGTGAGCGAAACGACACCGATGCCTTTCGAGTGCTTTTTAATTTGATGGTTGAGGGATGACGCGATATCACAAACACACCCCTCTGAAAGAGTTGTTGCATGATTGTACGCGAGCACGCGACCCCAAATTATACCGCGGAACTCCCGCTAATTAAAATTAATATTTCAATCGGATGGGTCGGCGTCAAGGCTAAAAACCCACTCGATGGCGCAATTGACCGGTTTAGAGCGATAGTGTGCAGCGGAGGTTGGCGCAAACACGCGAATTTTTTATCATGCAGTAACATCCACGTTCAATTTAGAGTAGAGGAAGACCCGGAGAAGGCGGTCGTTTTTGTTTGAAAGTCGTACACGCGGAAACGACGGCGCTGATCAGGTTTCAAACTTTTTGATCATTTTTCAAAATTCGTTTAAAACGTGATCAGCGCCCGTATTCGACCGTCCAGCGCTGAATTAATGAAGTCGGACGCTTGCAACGATTCCTGCTCGTATTCATTTCAAAGAGGTTTAGTGCAAGTTGAAATACAAAGGGAATACGTCCGTCTGGTTTGCTAATCCATTATCATGGATGGACTGCAGCGCTCTTTATCTCCTCTTTCCAAATAATGAGAGGATCGGGGTTCAGCGGAGTGCACGTAATGCAGATTTTCGCAGGATGAAACAATGTTTTTCTTGCGGGATGAAAAGCAGCCCGATATTAATGACCGAGCGAGGTGCTCAAAGAATAATCGTCGTAGGAAGTAAAAGCATTAAGCACAAACAGTGTCTCTGAATCGTTTCCATTACGGCTTTTAAATGCGAAGATTCACGTCAAGCTTTATTTAATTTCGCTTTCCCTTAGGGAGGAAATTAACCCAATTGGATCGTTATGGTGTCGGAGGTTAAACGAGAGTCGAGCCTGCCAAAAATCGACGGTTTTAGCGCCAAAATCCATCCTTGGTTTATCTACAAACCATTTTAGGTGTTTTTTTCCTATTATAAACATTATTGATTAGATTTAGCGTAGCGGTGACGTGACGCGCGTCCGCGGCCTGCGTTGACGGAAGCCTTTTCTCGGGGCGGTTTGTGAGCGGTTGCAATGTGGTGTTTGTTGTTTTCAGAGGCGCCATGAGGTCATCCGGCGACTTTGGTTCCGTTTCAGTTCGTTTTCCGTGACTGCCCGCCAATGGATTTGAATCTGTCCCGCCAAATCCCGCCTCACTCAGCCCCGCCCATTATTTGAGCCAATGTTGTTACAGTCCCCTCCTCTCCGATGTGTTCAAATAACTGGCCTCGGGGGAACGAAACAATTCGACAAAGCAATACGAACCGGTTAATAACACTCCGAGCAAAAAGACAATATTATCAATACTAGTGAGTAGAGTAACTCGTCACGCCTAATGTTAGCAACCGCCGAATTAACCGTTAACTGTTACCTAAACGACATAGTGAAATGGGTAGAGTAGTATCGCGTTCCTCGCCCATAGTATTTTTTGTAATCGAATGAGATATTTTGTAGCACTTTTAGCGGCCGTTAGCCATGTTGAATTTGTTGACCACTTTTTTGAATGAGCTGTCGAGGTTCAGGGTGCTGCGGCACTCCAAAGTCAAGCTGAAGCCGCGGTCCGCCCCCCGCCCCGCCCCCACCGACTAACCGCCCCGCGATCCCCGCCCCCCGTTCGATGACGGGCCCCGCCCTCGCCTCGCCCCTCCCTCCCCCCCAAAATTAAGACCATGTACGCGGCAGCAGGGGGCGCTTCCCTCGCTTCACGCCAGGCCCGTCAGCGCCAGCGCCAGAAGCAGCTGCAGCAGCTGAAGAGCCAGAAGGAGCTCAAGCCGCACCAGCCGAAGCAGTACCACAACTACACGGACGATGCGGCCGGGCCCAAGCTGTCCCGGGTGGAGAGAGGGGCGCTGCGCCCGCCGCAGCCCCCCCACGAGCGCAGGCACAGCGCCTCCAACTACCACCTCAAGGAGCCGCCGAAGAGCCGCCTCAAGGAGAGCCCATCGATCTGCATACCGGTCCAGGCCCACGCCCCGCCGTGCTCGCTGGTGGAGAACCACGTGGCCTCCGCCACATCCCTCCAGCTGCCCCAGATCTTCATCCCGGAGGGCGACGGCCGCCTGGAGCGCCGCTGCAGCTTCGTCAGACAGGTGGAGGAGATGGAAAAGTGCCCGGAGGGGGGGCTGCTGGACAAGTGCAACCACCTGTGCAACTTCGAGATCAAGGACAGGCTGTGGGAGACCAAGTACGGCGACTTCGAGAGGGATATGTTCGGCAGTCTGGATTATCCCTTCTCTGAGGTGACTATATAACTATGGAGAATTTCGTCCACGGTCTTGGCCCAACGACAACGACGCTGATCACATTTTAAACTTTCTGGGAGGTTTTAAAAAAATTTAAAACGTGATCCACGCCCACCGATGGTGTCCGATCGGCGCGAAATTTTCACCGCGCGTTCGAAACGCACCTCCGAACCTACCTCCGGCTCCATTTTTTAATCGACGCACCGAAACTGGAATTATCGTCACGTTCCTTTTCGTCTGGAACGAACTCGTCCCACTCAAATATTAAGGCTCGCCCTCACCGCAATTTATTAATAATGAGGTCGATGCACCCGTTGTGCGCCGAAGTAGTCCCCATGCAATCAATTTTTTTAGCTCAGCGTTACAGCATTTTTTCTTGAACACCTATACAACAAGCGACACGCTTTTCTATGTTTAATTCAGGACGGCTCAACTCTGACATTTTACGCGGACAGTTTATATTATTGCATACATCACATGATAAATGTAAGTAAGCCACATTATAGTGCTAAAGAAAACAAACTGAAAAAGAAAACCGCCCCTGCACCATTTTTCTTCCATTTTATAGTATCCAGAGCTATTTATAACAATCGTGACATAATAAGGGAGAACGCGAAGATTATAATCAGTTTAAGCGAAATACGTAACACACGAGCGTTTGTGACGTACACCTTGATGAAGGATTTAGTAGCAGCGAAACGTAACTCACTTTCTAGATGCGCAATTTGTTCCACAATCGATTCCTTTTTGTTTCGTTTTTATACGACTGGCGGCAAAGCCGCAGATCCGTTTTAAACTCCGCAGCGCAAAACTCAAAAATTTTAAAATTAGTTTAAAACGTGATCTGCGGTTTGGAATGACGTCCGATTCGGCTGATTTTTGCACGAAATCGAATTATGAGCCGTCGCATATCACTCCTGGTGGTAGTCACCGCACGAACATCATTTGCTTTCTATTCTCCCCGTCCGGAAGCAAAATCGACGTAATATGCGCCTTCGGCCCGTCGGAGTGTTCATAAAGCAACGCTTTCATTAAAACTTTTAGTGTGCCTTTATTCCAACTCTATTAAAAACTCTAATTTCTCGGTGTACACAAAGAGATATGATTGAAAGAGCTCAAACCGGCTTTGTTCGATTTAATCGCGGTAACTAACTGTTGCGTGAGCGAGACAAATGAGATTATTGAACTTTAAAAAGCTGAAAGCTTCCCTAATTCGAACAGAACCTCGGAGAACAATAACTCACAGTTTTAATTAAGCAAATGCAAATGACGCAACGCACGTCAATAAAAAATGAACGATTATTAATCCCGGAACGCTCCTTTAAACTACTTTACGAAACGCAGTTTATAAAAGTGATATATTTGGGAACGAGGGTTTCCGCAACGGCCGTCCCTGTGGAGGGTTTTCTCCGCAAGCGGGTGGTTTTTGTTCCAACGGTAAGGCCGCTGATCCTGTTTCAAACTCCCTATATAGTTTTTAAAATAGTTTGAAACGTGATTTGCGCCCGATTCTTACGAAATTTCAAACACGAAATAATCAAGCTCGTTGGAAATCAATCTGATGCTCGCAAAATACCGCCAGCGCTATTACCGGCTTAACCCTCGTAACAGCATTTCGATTTTTTGTTAAGTGCCTGTTTATGGGCGCGCTAAGCCGCTAATACCTTTTAAATATTAAAATCGTTGTGTCACCAACTTGATTAAATCAGGACACCTACCCGGGGAAATACAATGTTAATAACTTATCGATTCGTCGAGAGGCAGTGGCGTAGTCGAAAGCGTCGTTTTTCTAGCGCGCAAACAAATAGAAAAATAATTACACTTGGGGGCGTCTGTAATGGCCGCCATTAATGGTATAATCGATGACAGGCCGCAAATTCTTATCAGTGTGCATCGGGGCCGCGTTTCCGGTTCCGGCGACGACAGATCGACCCTGACTGTGATCCCGGATTCCTATAAACGCCCGGAATGGGCGTGATAACATCTGATGGACATGCTTGATATTGACAGAGCGTCGATATTAATACGTTCTGTGATTAAGGGTGTAGCGTCTATTCGTATTCATTGGATTCGGCAGTTTTCGCACTTGCACCCCCGGAGCGGTTCTGGGGGTGGTTTTCGGCGATTTCGTCCCATGAATTCTGCGTTATAAACAATGGAGAATATACTCATGTATGAGGTACGACGGCACGCAACGTCGTACGTAATTACTAGTGACACTCGGCGATTTCTTGTTCCGGGTGTGCGATCTGTTGACACAGTTGGCGTGTGGTCGCGTAAAAATCGCCCCTCTTGTTTATACTATACGTAATCAAAACGTAACATAAACAAAGGGAGCGAAAGCGGGACAATAACGTATCGATTGGCCTTCGCTCGGTCCCCGCCGAGCGGATATTTGCTCCTTAATTAAGCCGCCGACCTGCCACGAGACGTCCACGACGCGTTCGATCTCTAATCCCGCCCCCAGGTCTCCTCCGCCATGTGCTCATCGCCGAAAATGCCCCACTGAGCGCCCCCAAACCGGAAAAATGAGAAACCGCTTCGACCCGGGATAACTTAGGACCAAGCCACGATGCACAACCAAGGGGCCAGCAACATATCAACCTATACAAGAATGAAACCAGACCAGAACCAAACCCTGTGCTAGACGGAATATTTTTGGAAAATTTTGCCCTTCCACGCTTGCTTCGACCGACTGCCACTATACACGCCTAACTCTACGCTTACGCAGAACTACAATGCCTTTCTATATTCGTCGTCGTCTACATATAGTGTGATCTATGATAGTGCTATTTTTGTATGTGATCTTTTTCGCGGGCGTTCGGGTATTCGCGACCATGCTCGGGTACTCGCTTGAGGCCGCCGCAGCCGCCGAGGTTTACACTGCATGAGCACAGCAGCATCCGCAGGAATGCAAGCCGCCTTACTCATCAGAGAGAAACAGCGTCTCCGCAAGAAGAAACTGAGGAAGGGCCGGGCGGAACTGCCCAGTCACATCGCCACCAGGGAGATCGCGCCCTTCCCGCAGTATCCGCCCGGATTTATGGTACGAACGCAAAAAACCCCGACCCGATAGCCCTCCGAACAACCGCGCAAATCCAATTCAAAAAAAAACCTACTTTGTCTTCGTCACTCGCACTTTGCGCCGCTCCTGCTCCGCAACGAACGGACACAAGGGGGTGCGCTTCGCCCCCCAGGTACACAACTCTCCCCAGAATCGACCAGTCTTTGTTTCGAGGCGCTACGACCAACACCGGCGCCGTAAATCCATTTTAAACTTTTTTCGGAAAAACTCAAAAAGTTTAAAATTTGTTTAAAACGTGATCTGCGGCGTCCGCACACCCCCGATCCCCACGAAACTCACCAACCACGTTTCGCATAGTCATACTTTCGTGTCCGCATCAATCATTTTTCGTTCCTTTTAGCCATACGGCCACACACTCCGTAAATGTCACCGCCAGCCCTCGACCTTAATCCCCTTCGGCCCAAATTAGCCGTCAGCGGTTTACGGCGGTGTAAAGGTTGCAAATAAAAATAGTCCGAAATGTCAACTTAATTTAACGAAAATTAAAGATCGCCGTAAGATTATCGTCGCCGAAATGTCATCCACGACTAATTGAAAATCGACAATAAGGCTCGGCGCTCGGCGTCAATAAATAAACAGGCCGTCAATCTCCTTACGCACTGTTTGCCCGAAACCAATCTGAGTTATTTGTCGGTGCATCAACAGGTATCGGAAATCAAGAGAGCGGCGTTCGGGGGAGGGACGCAGCCTTGGCCGACTGCGACGTCGGCGTCGCCACTGGCAACCGGCTCGAGCGAGTCGCCTCAATTAGACTTGCATCCGCCGATTGAATGCCGGCATGATTTTAAATGATCAATAGTGCACGTCGCGGGCGATTTTGATTGATCGTCGCATTCGTCACGATAACGACGTCATTACGTCCAAAACGGTCGTGGTAATTGTAGGTTGTCCGAAAGCGCCATTTCGGCGACTGAAGAATAAAGCGGCTTTTTTAAACGGAGCGTTTTAAAGCGCATCGATCGTGGAGCGGTCGCTCGTTAATCACGCTTTAATGTTGGATGTCAAAGTGATTTCAGAGTTGATTAAATTGATCAACCCGCAATTAGCCAGGAGGTAGCGTGAGCAACGGAGGAAACGCTTTTTGTTGGCGGCGATTAGCGAAAGATACAGCGTAAACATCCGTCCTTGATCGATCAGTTCAAACACGCAACACGATCAATCACCACTATATATATATATATATATATGTAGTTTTTGGAATTTTTCGTTGACGTTTGTTGTATTTGTGTGTGTGTAGTGTTCGCAGGGCCGTGCGGCATGGCAGGAACGAGAAAGGGGGAGACGCTGTTCACTCTCCGAGGAAGCGCGGCAACACCGCATCAAACAATCAGAGGCTCACCACCGATGGATGAAAAGGAACAGAGTAAGGGGCCCTCAACGCATGAGGCACTCGGAGCCGCATTTTCCTACTTTTATTTGCAGGTTTCACGCTGCTGTGCATGGCATGCTATCCTAACTCAAGCGCAACGGACGCTTGCTTTTTCACAGCGACACTCTTATCTAATAGAGCTTCCGTTTAGTTGTAGAATGCAAAAAGCGCGGCGCGATAGCGCCCGAAACAACGGAGTAGCGGCTGTTTAAACTTTTCCGAGGGTCTGCGACTTTCCGGATCGCCTCGTACCGAAGCACTGGGTACCACCCGAAGTGCGACGCGTGCTTTTCGTGGAGAATTTTCCAAAGAATCGATTGGCGTCGGTCGCGAGTCGCTACGACGACTAGTAGAGGCGCTGATCCGTTTTAAACTGTCTCGTGTCAAACTCAAAAAGTTTAAACTTAGTTTAAAACGTGATCAGGGCCTCCGGGTGGTGACCTAGCGGTCTGAAATTCCCGGTGGGGGTACGTAGTTGCAAATTGAAGGGTCCTGTGGACTCCCGCTATGATTAGTACATTGCATGGCTAATTACAGTGCTTCGATTATTTTCGCTTAAAATATGGTTTGGTCGCATGTCGGAGCTTTTTACGGAGCAGTTAGAGAACTCGAAACGGCTAAGTAGTGCATCGAGAACGGCGGTCGCGCCCAATCGATAGTCGGCGCTTGCATTTTTCCCCGAGAATTTTCTCACGACCCTCTATAAATACTTAAAACCCCAGCTAATTACGCCCTTCATCCCGCCGTTCGCTTCAACAGGTTACTTAATAACTCCATCCTCGAAACTTTCGGTCTTTATTCATCACGGAAACGTTGTCGGAGAGATTCCCGAGAAATTCTCGGCTCTCTCGAGAATTTTAACCATTCTGCGGCCTTTTTCTTCATCAACGTGCATCTTTAATGGCGCTCTAAAATTAAACTCGGAACAAAAAAAAAATCAAAACGCTGCCGTCTCTTCCAGATCCACGACTCCACGTACGGCACCGGTTCGGACGAAGATGACTTCTTCAGCGTGTACCACCAGAGCGCCGCCGCCAACGCCCTCCTGTACGTCGGGCTGGGCACGACGGCCATCGGCAGCGTCATCTTCTTCGTCGGCACCGGCGAGAAGGGCTTCAAGACGTTGGAGCTGCGCCTAATCGGGCCTACCTTGATCGCTTGCGGCCTCCTGTGTTGCCTAATCCGCGTGTTGCTGTGCGCCTGCCCTTCCACCTGCCTCCGGAGGCGGAAGAAGACACGACTGAAGAACAGCGCCTGTCCGCACGCTTCCAGCAGGTGAATGATTCTGTCAAAGCGACATTTTTGAATGATTTTGAATGATTTTGAATGATTTTGATGATGTTGCGCAGGTACCCGAGGTCGCGCGACAACGTGGACAGCGCCGCCCTGCTCTCGAAGAACAAGAAGAAGGTGTCCATCGTCCCGCCCAGCCACCCCATCCCCAGCACGAGCACTCAGGAGTTCAAGGAGGCGCCGAGCCAATCGGAGAAGATCAGCCTGCCCCAGATCAACCTCCCCGACGTCGACGAGGCGAAGATGTCCCGCGAGGACTCCGTCATCGAGCTGCAGAACCTCGAGCTCGTCTACGACATACAGAGTGTTTCGAGTAACGATAGTGACGATAACGGCGCAGTGACTGTCATCGAGGCGACGACGAAGGCGTCGAAGCTGACGCGGACTCGGGAGCCGGCGAACCGGCCGGCGCCGACGCGCCAGGACGACCTGGAGACTTGCCTGAGTGTCGTCATCGAGAGGAGTGACAATAGTGAAAGCAGTGACGGGCACAAGAAGGAGGACGGTGCTGACAAACAGACACACAGCGGAATCGTGCTCAGTCCGTTGCAATTGGGACAATAATCGTTGTTGTAGCTTCGCTGCTAATGCAGGCGAGAGGGCGCGGGGAGATGATCAGAATCATTCAAACACCACCCACCGACCGGATCAAACGCCAGGAAGTCGATTCGTTATCAAAACAATGGTGCTAGTCTCATTTACACGTTGTTAACATTGACAATACGATTGTTGCGGGTCGCTGGACGACCGATCATTTCCTCGATTGTTGCGATTTATTGTTGATTTTTCGGGAGAGGGTCGAGGTGTCACCCGGTTCCTGGGCCCGTTTGATTGGCCGAGAGAGTACAAATCAAACGAAACGTTGTACACCAAAAATCAAAATTTCGCCGCCCCCTAGCGTCAATCAAACTGTTAGTTATGGAATTGATTATATATTAAACGTAAAACAGGACTCTGTCGGAGCTGAGCGCGGCCCCGCCCGAGGGCGGCGCCGCGCTCGCCACGCCCACAGGACTGATGACGTGTTGTACTAGAACGAAACGCAATTATTGAGATTTTACGTTGCGTCCTTCCGTTGAAGCAACGTGAATGTATTAAGTAAAGTAATATTTGCTAAAAATTATAATTATAACCTAGCGTGCCTGTAACATTATCTTTTCATCCTAAAAACTTATTACAAAATATGCTTTCATCACCGTTTTCTTAGATTGTAAATTTCGAATACAGCAATATTATATTTGGCCTAATTTGACGTCGTCGGACGGAGAGGATGTCTCTTCTTCATTCTTTTTGCGCACCTTGTTTTCATCACGATTCTGAATGATCGAGGCCGCGGCGGACACTCGCCGCTCGGACCGTGATCATTTTTGATCTTTGCAATCATTCGACAAATAAGGATAAAGTATACTTTGCAAAAGTTTTCGTATTGTGCATTCTTCGATTTTATATTGTTAAATTTAAGAGTCGTGACGGCGTAGATTGTAACCTACTCAATGTACCATTATGATATTTTTCGGATTATTAGGTTCCAGTGTCGGATTCGTGTCAGGGTCGGTCCGTGCGCGCCCCCGCCGCACACCGACCGACCATGTCAACAAAATTGTACCGTTGTTTTGTTATGATTGGTTCGAAATGGCGGAAATGCGTTCAATACCCGAGACTATAATTACACCTATATGAGAGTGTACATTATATACTTGCTATATTAATAGAAAATATAAAAATGTACGTATATGTAACATATTGTTTGAGAATCATGTATAAAATATTTTCGGTTGCGGCTTCTTTTTCATTCGATTCTTTACACTATTTTATACATGATTTGCAAAAAGTACTATAATAAAGTTATATAGAAAAAGCCAATGGAATATATAACATAATGGGTACATATCGATTACAAATAAAGAGGAGAAAAAAACTTCAACTCATTTATTAATAACGACAAAACAAACAACTCCACCACTGAATACGTGAAAAATTAATATCCTCGTTCGTATCTTCCTACAACCACGAAAATCAATTTTAAACAACAAAACCTACGAAATTTGGCACAAAAACCAACGCAAAATTACAACGCTTTTACTTTCAACTGCTTCATCTTCGGGGCGCGCTTTTTCGCCTGCCGCTTCTGCTCCTTCTCCTCCCAACGTCTCTGACGTTCCGGGTCTTCGTCAGCCATCACCTTCTCCTTCTCCAAACGCCGTCTTTCCTCGCGTCGCGCGGCCGCAGCTTCGGCGCGCGCTTGGTGCGTCGACTTCAGGAAAGCCTCCTCGACCCGCTGCCGATTCTTGTCCGCTTTGGCCTTCCCTAGAACAAAAAACACCCCCTTTGGCTTCTCCCGAAAACCGCAACCCTCTACGACGAACCGCAAGCCCGCAAATCACGTTTCAATCTTGATCAAAATCATTGAAAAAGTTTAAAACGTGATCCACGGGCGCGGGAATGCTCCGATTGACTCCAGATTCACACTCTACCTTCTTTGGACAGTCTATACTTCTTCACTTTCTCCATACAATAAAACACCATCACCAAAAGTGGCTTCAACTGGTTCATGGCTTCTTCCAGGGGCATTCCTTTCAGAGGCATGTTGAACCCAAACAACAGGATTTTCTGGTTTTCAGGCAACTTCAAAACGCCGGTGTCTTCTTGTTGCTTGGGACCTGAATACTGATCAGAAAAATGGATGTAGTCCACCAGTTCCGTGTATTTGTTTAACACGGCGACTACTTTGGAATCCAACATGGCGGAAGTGGCCTCCGAGATTTCGCTCATTACGTTGAAGCCGGCCGGAATGTTGTGTTTATCACCGGGTCTTCGTTCCGGACAATAAACACTCAAATCGGCCATTTCTTTCGATAGGTGTAACGCGGTTTTTTTGGAGGCCACGCAGAACACGAAACTGTCCATGTCTTCCTTGTTCATTGTGACTTTGATGTGGACTTGGTCGAGAGTGGGGCGCATCATACCGGAAAGAATGGCCACGAGGTCTTGACGCTGAAAAAATTAAATGATCATAATAAAATCATTTAAAAAAATGGAGTTTTTTTTAATTGATTCCCTTACTTTGATCAGCTTCAGCTCCACTAGCATTCCCTCGCAGCACGTCCTTCCGCTGCACCACAACGTAAACACGTTTTCGCTCTCCTTGACAAACCCCACGTGCTCGTTCTTCTCCAAGGCCCCATCGTCCCCCACTAGGGAGAAATTGTCCTCCAGCAGCTGCCGGTGCGTTTGCAGCCACACGTTCGCGATTTTAGTGTTCTTGGCTTTACCAGTGGTGAAATTAATAAAGTAGACCACCAGCCCGGCTACCATCAAAATCTCCAACCAGTAGCTGTCCCAATTCGCCCGGAAGTGTATGGGGACTTTGGTTATGGTGATCTTGGGCTCGGCCGCCGGCTTTTCGTCCTTGCCCTCGAACCCTTCGAACTCCTCCAAGTCCTGGAAGTGCTCGAACTCCGAATCGTCGTCGTCTATGATGATGTCTTGATCGTCATCGGCTGGAGCATTCTCATGACTAGATTCCTTGAACTCGCTCTCGGGCGCGTTCTCCTGCGAGATCATGTCTTCATCGGCCTCGAAGTCCTCGAATTCGGCGAATTCATTGTCGTAGACGTCGTCGTATTTTGAGGCCGAGGAGACGTGGTGGAGCACCAGGGTTATAAGTAAAAATCGCCACAGCCACATTTCTGGAAGTTCCGGGGTGAAAGTGCGTTGTTTTGAGTGGAATCGCGGCTGAACTTACGGATTTAAGTCGGTTTGATTGATTTATGACTGAAGTGAGGTTAGGGTCGGGTGACGAATGACACAGGGTTTACGTAAGCGTAAACACACGTCATCGGGATGTTACCTTAGACACGTCCGGCGCCCAACTGCGAAATTCGAAATTCTAGAAATAAATAGAGGTCGTCGGAGGTTTGAGGAGGGATTTGTGGGCTATTTTGGACTCTGGCAGATTTTTTTGACCTAATTTTAGCAAGATGTCGAAGTTTGTCTTTGTCACTGACAGAACAAGTTTGACAGTTTGAAAAAAAAAAAAGCGTTAAAAAGCAAATGTAACAAAGAAAATAGACTTCTGATTGCAATCGTGGGTTTATTTAAAATCCACAGTATTAAATTCGTATTTTCGCTGAGTTTCCGACAACCACAAACCTACACAGTATGTAGACAGAGTAGCTTCAATAAAAAATTATGCCTCGACAAATAAGATACAATTCTGACACTACCTAGCACTTTGTTTGCGTTTAACTACAAAAAGGCATTGTTAATTTCAAATTTGGCTGCCTTTTCGAGCTCAAAATCTTTCTCTTGTGTTTAGTCTATACAATTTGTACGTTGGTGACGTACTAGCGACCTCTGGCGGCGGCGCCATCTGTCACCTGTCACCGCTAAAAAATGTTTAGTTTCGTGCACGAAAAAAACAATTAGAACTTTCTTGCCAGCCCCCGACGCTCGAAACCCGCTTAAACGCCGCCCCCGCGCCGCAAATGATGCCGTTTTCCTTCTCGCCTTGAGTTTGCACGAGTGCCAAAAATGAGTAAACATATGTACTCAACCGCAAATCTCACAGACAAAGAGCTGAAGGAGCAAGGAAACCGCCTTTTCAGCCTCCGCAAGTACGAGGAGGCCATAAACTGCTACAGCAAGGCAATAGTGAGTGAAATTCGCGACTTCGCGACGGCGCGAAATTGAGGTTATGTCATGCAATTTTAGATAAAAAATCCTGATGTTGCTCACTATTTCACCAACAGAGCGCTTTGCTACCTCAAGTTGTCGCGATGGGAGCAGGCGTGCACGGACTGCCGCCGGGCCCTCGACATGGAGTCGAACTTGGTGAAGGGACACTTTTTCCTCGGACAGGCTTTAATGGAACTGGAGAACTACGACGAGGCGATCAAGCACCTGATGAGGGGTCAGTGACGGCGCTGAGTGCGCGTGGGGCTTAATTTTGTGTTTTAGCGTCCGACTTGGCGAAGGAGCAGAAGCTGAATTTCGGAGACGACATAGCGGCACAGTTGAGAGCGGCGAGGAAAAAGCGCTTCTCGATACAAGAGGAGAAACGAATAGCGCAGGAGATTGATCTATTGACATATCTAACAAGACTTGTAAAGAGCGACAAACAGACGCAGATCGACGAAATGAGAAGACAAGGGTTCGAAAAGGACGACGAGGAAGATAAAGTGAGGGAGATTGAAGAGAAATGTGTAAGTGGGCCTTGAAATATAATCACGGCTTGCTATCAATTTTTTGAGTAAAAGTTTGAGACGTGCGTGTTTTAGGACTCGCACTTGAGCGAACTGAACGCGCTGTTTATGAAAGTGGACGAGAAGCGAAGAGTAAGTGTACGGTCACCATTATTGTTACCCTCATCGTTGATTTGTAGAAACGTGAAGTTCCTGACTACCTGTGTGGCAAAATCAGCTTCGAGATCCTCCAGGAGCCTGTGATAACCCCCAGCGGGATCACCTATGACAAAAAAGACTTAGAGGAGCACCTCCAAGTTCGTATTTTCTGTTTTATTTTGAAGGGTGTCTGAGGGTCGGGTTTTAGAGAGTCGGTCATTTCGATCCCGTCACTCGAGTGAAACTCACCCAGGATCAGCTCATCCCGAACTTCGCCATGAAGGAGGTGGTCGACGCATTTCTTGCCGATAACGAGTGGGCCCTGGATTACTGATCGACGGGGAAAAAAAGTTTTGTATTTTTTATCTTCCCGGACACTGTTATTGAAGCACTGTTGTATTTAGCTTTGTTTGGCTGTATGTTCTGTTTATTTTATTTAAGGAGTAAGTTTAAGGTTATTACAGTTGTTCAAATATCATGAGTTATGATAATTTGTGCAATTTAGATTGTAAATAAATCAATAAACACGAGTTTTTGGGTTTGGGGGAAGGTTAATACTGTGGCAATTTTGAGGTTATGGTGATGTGAGGATTTATCAAGGAACAAATTCAAAGGCAGGTATGTCTTAATCTGTTTAGAAATAAAGCTTGTGTACGTGTAGAAGAACAATAAGATTGACGTCACGGTTTTATTTTTCGCGCCATTTTCAAATTTCGTATGATTCCGATTGGCTTAAATTTTCGAAAGTTGTGACGTCAGCCTTATTATTATGCTACTTTCGTCAGATTTAGAGAAACATAGTTGTAATATAAAAAGCTACGTTAAACCCAGGCCTACAATCATATCTTTATTTTTTTTTAATTTATTAGACTAGACAATGTAAGATAACTTCAGTAAAAACCTTATATAGAGCATCATTTGTTCGATAAAGCAAAAAAAAACAATTTTTTTGTCTCGCCCGGAACAAAGAAAACAAAACAAGTTTATTGATAATCGCAAAAACAAAGCGATAAATTCCTTTATTTCCAAATACATATGATTTCCGAACAATATTTTATACTCAGTTGTGAATTGGCAACCGAAAATGTCCAACCTAGCTGCAGACTTGGAACTGTGGATGACCAATCTTCCGCAGTCGTTGAGAACGACACCGCTCATCTATTTAGCAATACCAGGTACAAAAATTCAAACTAACAGTATTTTTAAGGTCGATTTGTAAACTTGTCGCTGTAAGATAAATACGTTCAAGATGAGCAAATTTTAACTTTTCGCCGTTTCACTTTTATGTGCAGTGTAGTCTTTTTTTCACAACAAAAAAGGTAAAAGATGTTTAAAATGGTAAATTTGTATAGGGAAATATCGATTTTGCAGTTAAGCTCCGCCCCTCGATCTAACAACGAATGAAAAATTCGTCACGATTGAGATCGAAACGAATGGGTCTCTTTTGGTTTTCAGTTTTAATTAATACATTTACTTTTCTTTGTATAACACGATTAGTTAAGAACACATTTCACATGGTAATTTCTCGTAGAAAAATAAGAATTTTATAATTAACCTCCGCCTCTTACTTACGTACGGGGCGGAGCCTAATTGCAAAATATTTCCTTATACAAATTTTCCATTTTCCAAGTTCCATATTGTGAAAAGAAGTCTACACATATTAAAACAAAAAAAAACAAAAAGTAAGCCCGCCCGCCCACCCTATCTCAATTGTGATGATTTTTTTTATTCGCTGAGAACCAAGAGGGCGAAGTTTAACTGCAAAATACTAATTTTTTACAATAAATTGAAAACACGTTTTTGAGCAATATATTGCTCAAAGAACACTATGTATATTTAGAAAAAAGTAAATATATAAACCCCGCCCACCCGCCCCATCTCAAGTGTGATGATTTTTATTCTTAGAAACTTAAAACGCGCTTAAAATGGTAATTTTTGTAAGGAAATAAGGAAATATGGATTTTGCAATTAGGCCCCTCCCCTAGGTCTGCCAATGAATGAAAACTTCATTACTATTTTGCAATTAAATTCCGCCATTCATCACAATTGCGATAGGGTGGGTGGGCGGGGCTTATATTTTTCCTTTTTTCTTGATATACATAGTCGTCTTTTCAAAACAAGAAACTTAAAACATACTTAAAATGGTAAATTCTTGTAGATAAATAAGGATCTTGCTATTAAGGCCCGCCCCTCGATCTGATATCGAATAAAAAGTTCATCACAATTGAGAATTGAGATTGGGGCGGGTTTGGATGGGGCCTAATCTTTGGTTTAATTTTTTTCTTAGTTTACGTAGTATTCTTTGAACAAAACGATACAGTTTTTAAATAATTTCTCGTTGAGAAATAACGATTTTGCAGTTAAGCTCCGCCCTCTTGGTTCACGATGAATAAAAAAAATCGTCACAATTGAGATAGGGTAGGTGGGCGGGGCTAAATTTTTCCTTTTTTTTTTCCTAATCTAGCCATCTTTTCACAAAAAGAAACTTAAAACATGGTTAAGATATCCATTTTTGCAAGGAATAAGGAATTTTGCAATTATGGGGCGGATTCTAATTGCATTTTCCTTATACAAATTTTCCATTTTAAACATGCTTTAAGCTTCTTGTAGTGAAAAGAAGTCTATACCATGTTAAAACAAAAAGGCAAAATGTAAGCCCGCCCAGCCGCCCTGTCTCAATTGTGATGATTTTTTTTATTCGCCGTGAATCAAAGGGGCGGAGCTTAACTGCAAAATACTTATTTTTTTACAAGGAATTAAAAACATGCTTTCGAGTATTGTGTTGTTCAAAGATTACTACGTATATTAAGAAAAAAAGGCAAAATACACCCTGCCTACACACCCCATCAGAATTGTGATGATTTTTTATTCTTTGAAACTTAAAACACGTTTAATTCAAATTATAAATTTTTGTAAGGAAATAAGGATTTTGCAATTAAGCTCCGCCCCTAGGTCTGCCAACGAATGAAAAATTCTTTGCTATATAGTTTAGGGCAGGTATGACTGGGGCTTAGGTAATCTTTGGCGTTAATTTTTTCTTAATATACATAGTATTTTTTTGAATAACACGAACATCAAAAATATGTCTTACATGGTAATTTCTTGTAGAGAAATAATAAGAATTTTGCAATTCAATTCCGCTTCTTTGGCTCTCGACGATTAACAAAAAAATCATCACAATTGCGATAGGGTGGGTGGGCGGGGCTTATATTTTTCTTTTTTTTCTTAATATATGTAGTTGTCTTTTCAGAACAAGAAACTTAAAACATGCTTAAAATGGTAAATTCTTGTAGATAAATATGGATTTTGCCATTAAGCCCCGCCCCTCGATCTGATAACGAATAAAAAGTTCATCACAATTGAGAATTGAGATTGGGGCGGATTTGGATGGGGGCTAATCTTTGGTTTCATTTTTTTTCTTCATTTACATAGTATTCTTTGAACAAAACGATGCTCAAAAACATGTTTTAAATTTTTCGTTGAGAAATAACGATTTTGCAGTTAAACTCCGCCCTCTTGGCTCACGATGAATAAAAAAAATCGTCACAATTGAGATAGGGCGGATGGGCGGGGCTAAATTTTTCCTTTTTGTTTTTAATATACATAGCCATCTTTTCACAACAAGAAACGTAAAACATGGTTAAAATAGTTATTTTTGCAAGGAATTAGGGATTTTGCAATTATGGGGCGGAGCCTAATTGCATTTTCCTTATACAAATTTTCCATTTTAAACATGCTTTAAGTTTCTTGTTATGAAAAGAAGTCTACACCATGTTAAAACAAAAAGGCAAAATATAAGCCCGCCCACCCACCCTGTCCCAATTGTAATGATTTTTTTTATTCGCCGTGAATCAAAGGGGCGGAGCTTAACTGCAAAATACTTATTTTTTTACAAGAAATTAAAAACATGCTTTCGAGTATTGTGTTGTTCAAAGATTACTACGTATATTAAGAAAAAAAGGCAAAATACACCCTGCCTTCACACCCCATCAGAATTGTGATGATTTTTTATTCTTTGAAACTTAAAACACGTTTAAAATTATAAATTTTTGTAAGGAAATATGGATTTTGCAATTAAGCTCCGCCCCTAGGTCTGCCAACGAATGAAAACTTCTTTACTATATAGTTTAGGGCAGGTATGAGTGGGGCTTAGGTAATCTTTGGCGTTAATTTTTTCTTAATATACATAGTATTTTTTGAATAACACTAAAGTCAAAAATATGTCTTACATGGTAAATTCTTGTAGAGAAATAATAAGAATTTTGCAATTAAATTCCGCCGCTTGGGCTCTCGAAGATTAAAAAAAATCATTGCAATTGCGATAGGGTGGGTGGGTGGGGCTTATATTTTTGGTTTTTCTTAATATATATGTAGTCGTCTTTTCAGGACAAGAAACTTAAAACATGCTTAAAACGGTAAATTCTTGTAGATAAATATGGATTTTGCCATTAAGCCCCGCCCCTCGATCTGATAACGAATAAAAAATTCATCACAATTTAGAATTGAGATTGGGGCGGGTTTGAATGGGGCCTAATCTTTGGTTTCATTTTTTTCTTAATTTAGATAGTATTCTTTGAACAAAACGATACTCAAAAACATTTTTAAATTTCTCGTTGAGAAATAACGATTTTGCAGTTAAGCTCCGCCCTCTTGGCTCACGATGAATAAAAAAAATCGTCACAATTGAGAGAGGGTGGGTGGGCGGGGCTAAATTTTTCCTTTTTGTTCTTAATATTCATAGCCATCTTTTCACAACAAGAAACTTAAAACATGGTTAAAATGGTTATTTTTGAAAGGAAATAGGGATTTTGCAATTATGGGGCGGAGCCTAATTGCATTTTCCTTATACAAATTTTCCATTTTAAACATGCTTTAAGTTTCTTGTTATGAAAAGAAGTCTACACCATGTTAAAACAAAAAGGCAAAATATAAGCCCGCCCACCCACCCTGTCTCAATTGTGATGATCTTTTTTTATTCGCCGTGAATCAAAGGGGCGGAGCTTAACTGCAAAATACTTATTTTTTACAAGAAATTAAAAACATGTTTTTGAGTATCGTGTTGTTCAAAGAATACTACGTATATTAAGAAAAAATGGAAAAATATAGACCCCGCCCACCCACCCCATCTCAATTATGATGTTTTGTTTTATTCTTAGAATCTTAAAACACGTTTAAAATGGCAAATTTTTCGTAAGAAAATATGGATTTTGCAATTAGGCTCCGCCCCTAGGTATGGCAACGAGTGAAAACTTCATTACTATTTAGGTCAGGGCAGGTATGGGTGGGGCTTAATTTTTGGCTTCAATTTTTTCTTAATATAAATACGTAGTATTCTTTAAATAATACAATACTCAAAAACATGTTTTACATGGCAATTTCTTGTAGAGAACTACTAAAGATTTTGCAATTAAATTCCGCTCCTTTGGCTCTCGACGATTAAAAAAAAATCATCACAATTGAGATAGGGTGGGTGGGCGGGGCTTATATTTTTCCTTTTTTCTGAATATACGTGGTCGTCTTTTCAGAACAAGAAACTTAAAACATATTTAAAATGGTAAATTCTTGTAGATAAATATGGATCTTGCCATTAAGCCCCGCCCCTCGATCGGATAACAAATAAAAAGTTCTTCACAATGGAGAATTGAGGTCGCGGCGGATATGGGTGGAGCCTAATCTTTGGCTTCATTTTTTTCTTAACTTACACAGTATTCTTTGAACAACACGATACTCAAAAACATGTTTTTAATTTCTTGTAGAGAAGTAACGATTTTGCAGTTAAGCTCCACCCTCTTGGCTCACGATGAATAAAAAAAATCATCACAATGGAGATTGGGTGGGTGGGCGGGGCTACATTTTGCCTTTTTTTTCTTAATATGCATAGCCATCTTTTCACAACAAGCAACTTAAAACATGTATAAACTGTTTTTTTCAGAAAACATGGATTTTGCAATTATGGGGCGGAGCTTGATAGCAAAATCGATATTTCCTTACACAGATTTTCCATTTTAAACATGTTTTAAGTTTCTTATTGTGAAAAGAAGTCTACACCATGTTAAAATAAAAAGGCAAAATGTAAGCCCGCCCACCCGCCCTGTCTCCATTGTGATCATTTTTATCTGCAAAATACTTATTTCTTTATAAGAAATTAAAAACATGTTTTTTAGTATCGTGTTGTTCAAAGAATACTGTGTTTTAAGAAAAAAGCCAAAATATAGACCCCGCCCACCCACCCCATCTTAATTGTGATTTTTTTTATTCTTATAAACTTTAAAACACGTTTAAAATGGTACATTTTTGTAAGGAAATATGGATTTTGCAATTAGGCTCCGCCCCTAGGTCTGCCCACGAATGAAAACTTCATTACCGTTATTTGAACAACATGATACTCAAAAACATGTTTTTAATTTCTCGTAGATAAATAAGGATTTTACAGTTAAGCTCCGCCCTCTTGGCTCACGACGAATAAAAAAAATCATCACAATTGAGACAGGGTGGGTGGGCGGGGCTACATTTTGCCTTGTTTTATTAATATGTGCAGACTTATTTCAACAACAAGAAACTTAAAAGATGAACAGCAAGCTTATAAATTCCATTTTAGGTTCCCACGACAGCGGAACCTTCGATATCTCCCCAGCCTCAGATGTAGCCCCCGACGCTGAACCCATCCTCCAAATTCTGAGCGTCCTGGGTTGCGTGGTTAAAGAAATTCTAACCCAGTGGTCTCTCACCCAATACTACACCATCCGACAACAACTATACCGAGGAATCAGATACTTCGACTTTAGAATCGCCACCAAGAAGAGTAAAGACTTGTTTTATTTCGTGCACGGGTTGTATTCAGAAGAGGTCATCGTGGAACTGGAAGAAATCAAGGATTTTCTGGAGCAGCACCCAAAAGAGATTGTGATTCTCGACTGCCAGCACTTCTACGGGTTGGAAACCTACGACCACAAGCGGTTCGTGCACCTTTTGGGCACCGTTTTCGGGGAAAAACTGTTACCGTATAGTAGTGATATGAAAAACATCACGCTAGATTCCATGAGCGAAGACCAGCGCCAAGTTATTGTTATTTACAGAGAAAGTCCTCCAGGAGTGGTAAACCCGTTCTGGCCGTCGCAAAGCTTCCCGAATCCCTGGGGCGACAAAATCGTGGCTTCGAACCTCATCGACTATTTAAATGAACAACTGAAACTCAGGGATTATTCGTTGGGTTATGTTTCGCAGTGTATTTTAACACCGAGTGCTTCATATATTTTGCGACATCTGTGCAGTAAGTACGAATCAAAAGTAACTACGAGTTTCAATGTCGATTTTAAGGTAATTTGTACAGTAAATGTTTTCTACCTCTGGAAGAAAAAAAGTATGAGTGGTTGAATAGTCAAACTCCGGGCCCTACGGGTATTAATATTGTGATTTCCGACTTCGTGGACCATGGGGACGACCAATTTCCTCGTACTGTGGTCAACTTGAATGAGAAATTATTGGATAGTAACCAAAATTTGAGTAACGCTTAATCCATTTATCTATGTATGTACTCCGTATTTTACTACGCAAATATTTAAATAAGTATGTGATAATAAATAAAAAATATGGCTTGCTATCTTCGTGTAATTCAGAGGATGTGACTCGCCACATTCTTTGCATTGTTAATTTAAGGTAAATAGGCACTTAAAATACTTGGCTAAACACTCATTAAATCATTTATACAACAAAGAAAACATCGCGCAACGTGAAAAACATGCAACAATTACGAAATAATAAACAACAATTCTAAGTAATGCGAATTCGAACTAATGACATCGCGCGCATAATAATGAGTGACCTCATTATATTTCCGCAAAAAACCCAAACAATGGGCAGTTAATCAATGTTAATTCCACTTCTCCCACAATTTCCCACCAAATCCAGCAAAATGGACACCCTTGAAGTCTCCCTCAACCCAACCATGGAAACAGATGTAGCCAAAGATTTAGAACTTTGGATGACAAACTTGCCTCAGAAGCTAAGAACGACCCCAATTATACACTTAGCTATTCCAGGTAATTTCATTTATTATAGACTTGAAGTAAATTAGCGTTGTAGGGTCTCACGATAGCACCACTTATGGCATCACATCAAAATCAAAAATAGCCCCAGACGCGGAACCCATTTACAAGTGGCTGAGGTTCCTAGGCCCCATTTTCAAAAAAGTCATGGTCAACTGGTCAAAAACCCAGACGGTCACAGTCACCCTACAGCTCCAAAGTGGAATCCGATACTTTGACTTGAGAATCTCCACCAAGGAGAAGGACGACCATTTTTACTTCGTCCATGGGTTGTATGGGGACGAGGTGGCCAAAATCCTCGACGAAATCAAAGAATTCCTTGAAACTCACCCGAAAGAGGTGTGAATCATAACCTCACTTTGTAACTACTAACTGACTTTTCACACCCTCAAGACCTCAAATGTCGAAAGTTTCACCCACCATTCTTGTCTCCATCGCTTAATCACCTCTATGTTTTTATTATTGTTGTTGTTGTTTCGTAAAACAACAAAACAAGAAACATAACCCCACTTATAACATAACCTCACTATAATTAAATTGTTTTTGCTAGGTTGTGATCCTCGACTGCCAGCACTTCTACGCCTTCCAGCAGAGCGACCATGAGCGTCTTATGTACCTCCTCACGTCCACCTTCGGCCACAAGCTGCTCCCCTACATGTCCCACATGGAGCACATTTCCCTGCAATACATGACGGAGTGTCGCTACCAAGTCATCGTAGTCTATAGGTCGGACGCCGCCAGGTTCGGGCAGCCCCTATTGTGGCCGGCTGTCTGCTTCCGTAACCCGTGGGCCGAAACGGTCTCCATTCCCAAGTTGATAACGTTTTTGACTGACACCCTGAAAAGTAGGAATCCCTCCATGGGTTTTGTTTCGCAGTGCGTCTTAACCCCGACGACTTGGTTCGTCGTTAAGCACTTGTTTAGTGAGTACGGAGTTGTGGGGGCGACATTTTTATTTTAATTTGGTATTTTTAGGTTGTTTGAAGAAGCAGTGTTTGCTGCCGCTGCAGAGGGACAAGTATAAGTGGTTGAGGATGCAGCGGCCGGGACGTGGGGGGCTCAATATCGTGATTTCGGATTTCGCGGAGTTTGAGGATGGGAGGTTTGCGAGGGCTGTGGTTGGGTTGAATCGGAAGTTGTTGAGGGAGGGGGAGAGGGATGAATTGACGCCCATTGATGGGGGCCGATAAGTCTTGCCTGAGTGATAACATCAATTTTGTATTGTTTTATGTTTTTAAGTCTTTTAGTAATTAACAATCATATTTTTGTATAATTTTTATTTATAATTGTATTTTAATGTTATGTATGTTGTTCAAAATGTATTTGTGATAAATATGCCTTTATTGCCTTTAATGCCGACATTCTGTGTAAAATGTTATACTTTAACCAGTACTGTGATGTATCTAGAGTAATACGTAATAAATTAATATAATCGTTAACAGTTGTTTTTATTTCTTAACGTTGGTTTGTGTGTGTGGGACATTGTAACATTGCTGCCAATAATTCAGGACTGCCAACCCAAAAATTTGCATTAGTAGTCACTAGGTACTGTATTATTGGAGGGATTTTATCTTTTTTTCCTAACAAGAAACTGACAACATGTTTAGCTTTCCTGTTATTGAAAAAAAATTCTATATATAAAAAAAAACAAAAATTAAACCCCACCCACCCACCCATCCCGATCTCAATTGTGATGAGTTTTTCATTCCTAATTAGACTGAAGGGCGGAGTTTAATTACAAAATCCTCATTTCTCTACAAGAAATTATCATATGTGGTGTGTTTTTACATCAATATTTCTCTAAAATATTCTACTCTTTTCAAAACATATTTCATATGGCAATTTCTAGTAATGAAATGAGGATGTGTCTATTTAAATTTCACCCTTGAGCTCATGATGAATAAGACATTCATCACAATTGAGAAGGGGTGGGTGGGCGGGGCTAATATTTTGTCCATTTTTTCGTAATATACGCAGTCTTCTTTTCCTAACAAGAAATTGACAACATGTTTAACTAACCTGTTGTTGAAAAAAAAATTTATATATAGGCAAATATTTTTTTTTTCTTAATAGACGTAGTCTTTCTACAACAAAAAACTGAAAACATGTTTAAAATGGTAAATTTTTGTAGGGAAATATTGATTTTGCAGTTGCGCTCCGCCCCTCGGTCTGACAACAGATGAAATGTTAAACACGATTGAGATCGTCACGGAAGGGTGGGGCTTAATCTTTGACTATAATTTATACTTAACATACATAGCATTTTTTGAAGAACACGATTTTCAAAAACATGTAAATACATGATAATTTCTTGTAGAAAATTAAGGTTTTCAAGCTCCACCCCCTTGGCTCACGATGAATAAAAAAAAGTCATCAAATTTACCCTTTTAAATATGTTTTCAGTTTCTTGTAAAAGTACAAAACTACGTGCATATATTAAGAAACACAATGTAAAATTCAAACCCCGCCCACCCGCCAACATCTCAATTATGGTAACGTTTTTATTCGTTGTCAGCCGAAGGGCGGAGCTTATCTGCAAAATACTTATTTCTCTACAAAAAACTGCGAGCTGTTTTTGAGTAACATGTTGTTGAAAGGAAACTAGATATGTTAAGAAAAAAAGTCAAAAAAATATGCCCCACCCACCCGCCCCAGTCTCAAGTGTGATGAATTTCTCATTGGTTGTCAGACCGAGGGGCAGAGCTTAACTGTAAAATCGATGTTTTCCGACAAAAATTTAAACACGTTGTAAATAATTTGTCGTAGAAAGAAGATTATTAAAATTTAAGCCCCACCCACCCGCCGCCATGTCAAATGTAACGATGCGAGTGCGGGGGCGGAGTTTAATTTTTCTATAAGAACCCACCCTGATCTCAGTTGTGATGTATTTTTCACCAGAACATGTTTTAAGTATTATCATATTCTCAAAAATAGACCATTTTGAAAAAAAGAAGACTGTGTCTCTTCTCTACTATGTCAACAAATCATGTTTCACATGGTAATTTCTTGTAGAGAAAGAAAGATTTTGCAGTTAAGCTCCGCCCGATTGACTCACGACGCATAAAAAAATCATCACAATTGAGATGGGGTGGGTGGGCGGGGCTTATATTTTTTTTTGTTTCTTTATACACGTAGTCATCTTTTCACGACAAGAACTTAAAACATGTTTCAAATGGTAAATTTTTGTAGGGAAATATTGATTTTGCAGTTACGCTTCGCCCCTCGGTCTAATAACAAATGAAAAATTCATTACGATTGAGATCGTCAGGGAAGGGTGGGCCTTAATCTTTGGCTATAATTTATACTTAACATACATAGCATTTTTTGAAGAACACGATTTTCAAAAACATGTAAATACATGATAATTTCTTGTAGAAAATTAAGGTTTTCAAGCTCCACCCCCTTGGCTCACGATGAATAAAAATAATCATCAAATTTACCCTTTTAAACATGTTTTCAGTTTCTTGTAAAAAACAGAACTACGTGCATGTGTTAAGAAAAACAACGTAATATTCAAACCCCGCCCACCCACCCTCGTCTCGATTGGGATAACGTTTTTATTAGTTGTGAGCCGAAGGGCGAAGCTTAACTGCAAAATTCTTGTTTCTCTACAAAAAACTACGAGCTGTTTTTGAGTAACATGTTTTTGAAAGGAAACTAGATATGTTAAGAAAAAAAGTCAAAAAATATGCCCCACCCACCCGCCCCAGTTTCAATTGTGATGAATTTCTCATTGGTTCTCAGACCGAGGGGCAGAGCTTAACTGTAAAATCGATGTTTTCCAACAAAAATTTAAACACGTTTTAAATATCTTGTCGTGGAAAGAAGATTATGTATATTCAGAAACGAAGGCAAAATTTAAGCCCCGCCCACCCGCCGCCATGTCAATTGTAACGATCTTATTCGTTATGACCCGAGGGGCGGAGTTGAATCGCAAAATCCTTATTTCTGTATAAGAATTTACCGTCTGAAACATGTTTTTAAGAATGATGGTGTTGAAAGAAACCTGTATATACTACTAAAAAAAAAACAAACAAAAATAAAGCCCCACCCACCCACCCTGATCTCAGTTGTGATGCATTTTTCACTAAAACATGTTTTAAGTACTATCGTATTGTCAAAAATTGACAATTTTGAAAAAAAGAAGACTGTGTAGCCCTCCCTCACCTACTATGTCAACAAATCATGTTTCACATGGCAATTTCTTGTAGGGAAAGAAATATTTTGCATTTAAGCTCCGCCCAATTGACTCACGACGCATAAAAAAAATCATCACAATTGAGATAGGGTGGGTGGGCGGGGCTTATATTTTTTATATGTTTCTTTATACACGTAGTCATCTTTTCACAACAAGAACTTACATGTTTCAAATGATAAACTTTTGTAGGGTAATATTGATTTTGCAGTTACGCTCCGCCCCTCGGTCTAACAACAAATGAAAAATTCATCACGATTGAGATCGTCACGGAAGGGTGGGGCTTAATCTTTGGCTATAATTTTTATTTAACATAATACATAGCACTTTTTGACGAACACGATATTCAAAAACAAATAAGTACATGATAATTTCTTGTAGAAAAATAAGTCTTTCAAGCTCCACCCCCTTGGCTCACGATGAGTAAAAAAAATCATCAAACTTACCCTTTTAAACATGTTTTCAGTTTCTTGTAAAAAACAAAACTACGTGCATATATTAAGAAAAACAATGTAAAATTCAAACCCCGCCCACCCAGCCTCGTCTCGATTGGGATAACGTTTTTATTCGTTGTGAGCCGAAGGGCGGAGCTTAACTGCAAAATTCTTGTTTCTCTACAAAAAACTACGAGCTGTTTTTCAGTAACATGTTATAAAAAGGAAACTAGATATGTTAAGAAAAAAGTCAAAAAAATATGCCCCACCCACCCGCCCAGTCTCAATTGTGATGAATTTCTCATTGGTTGTTAGACAGAGGGGCAGAGCTTAATTGCAAAATCGATGTTTTCCGACAAAAATTTAAACAAGTTTTAAATATTTTGTCGTGGAAAGAAGATTATGTATATTTAGAAACGAAAGCAAAATTTAAGCCCCGCCCACCCGCCGCCAAGTCAATTGTAACGATGTGAGTCCGGGGGCGGAGTTTAATTTTTCTATAAGAACTTGCCGTCTGAAACATGTTTTTAAGAATGGTGGTGCTGAAAGAAACCTGTATATATTAATAAAAAAAAAGTAAAGATTGTGGTTTAATTAAAAATTTTAGTCCTGTTTTGAGAAGATAGACTCATTCGAATCAAACTCACTTCTACGTGACATTCTTTCGATGTATAAACACAAATAAACACTTGAGCTTCAGATTGCTATTACCTACTGCTGAAGGACAAGAGGTGTTATTTATGCCTATGGTTTTTACTTTACAGCGGTTATCACAAAACTAAAATCGTAAAATCAAATATTATAATTTTTTTAAAGAGCTGGATTTGACAAGCTGTACTTTATGGGCGAGGAAAGTTCTGCCAAAGTAATCTTCGATCAATTTTTTAAGTATGGTGTTGGAAAGAACCTGTATATATTACGAAAAAAAGACAAAAATAAAGCCCCGCCCACCCGCCCCGATCTCAGTTGTGATACATTTTTCACTAAAACATGTTTAAGTATTAAGACTTTGTAACCTTCTCTCCCCTACTATGTCAACAAATCACGTTTCACATGGCAATTTCTTGTAGAGAAAGAAAGATTTTGCAGTTAAGCTTCGCCCAATTTGCTCACGACCCATATAAAAAATCCTTACAATTGAGATGGGGTGGGTGGGTGGGGCTTATATTTTCTTATGTTTCTTTATACACGCAGTCATATTTTCACAACAAGAACTTAAACATGTTTCAAATGGCAAATTTTTGTAGGGAAATATTGATTTTGCAGTTGCGCTCCGCCCCTCGGTCTAACAACAAATGAAAAATTCAGCACGATCGAGATCGTCACGGAAGGGTGGGGCTTAATCTTTGACTATAATTTCTACTTAACATACATAGCATTTTTTGAAGAACACGATATTCAAAAATATGTAAATACATTATAATTTCTTGTAGAAAATTAAGGTTTTCAAGCTCCACCCCCTTGACTCACGATGAATAAAAAAAATCATCAAATTTTCCCTTTTAAACATGTTTTCAGTTTCTTGTAAAAAACAAAACTACGTGCATATATTAAGAAAAACAATGTAAAATTCAAACCCCGCCCACCCACCCTCACCTCAATTGGGATAACAGTTTTATTGGTTGTGAGCCGAAGGGCGGAGCTTAACTGCAAAATGCTTATTTCTCTACGAAAAACTACGAGCTGTTTTTGAGTAACTTGGTTGAAAGGAAACTAGATATGTAAAGAAAAAAAACTCAAAAAATATGCCCCACCCACACGCCCCAGTCTCAATCGTGATGAATTTTTCATTGGTTGTCAGACCAAGGGGCAGAGCTTAACTGTAAAATCGATGTTTTCCGACAAAAATTTAAACACGTTGTAAATAACTTGTCGTGAAAAGAAGATTATGTATATTCAGAAACGAAGGCAAAATTTAAGCCCCACCCACCCGCCGCCATGTCAAATGTAACGATGCGAGTGCGGGGGCGGAGTTTAATTTTTCTATAAGAACCCACCCTGATCTCAGTTGTGATGTATTTTTCACCAGAACATGTTTTAAGTATTATCACATTCTCAAAAATAGACCATTTTGAAAAAAAGAAGACTGTGTCTCTCCTCTACTATGTCAACAAATCATGTTTCACATGGTAATTTCTTGTAGAGAAAGAAAGATTTTGCAGTTAAGCTCCGCCCGATTGACTCACGACGCATATAAAAAATCATTACAATTGAGATAGGGTGGGTGGGCGGGGCTTATATTTTCTTTTGTTTCTTTATACACGTAGTCATCTTTTCACGACAAGAACTTAAAACATGTTTCAAATGGTAAATTTTTGTAGGGAAATATTGATTTTGCAGTTACGCTCCGCCCCTCGGTCTAACAACAAATGAAAAATTCATCACGATTGAGATCGTCACGAAAGGGTGGGTCTTAATCTTTGGCTATAATTTATATTTAACACAAATAGCATTTTTTGAATAACACGATATTCAAAAACATGTAAATACATGATAATTTCTTGTAGAAAATGAAGGCTTTCAAGCTCCACCCTCTTGGTTCACGATGAATAAAAAAAATCATCAAATTTACCCTTTTAAACATGTTTTTAGTTTCTTGTAAAAAACAAAACTACGTGCATATATTAAGAAAAACAATGTAAAATTCAAACCCCGCCCACCCACCCTCGTCTCGATTGGGATAACGGTTTTATTAGTTGTGAGCCAAAGGGCGGAGCTTAACTGCAAAATGCTTATTTTTCTACAAAAAAAACTACGAGCTGTTTTTGAGTAACTTGGTTGAAAGGAAACTAGATATATGTTAAGAAAAAAAGTCAAAAAATATGCCCCACCCACCCGCCTCAGTCTCAATTGTGATGAATTTCTCATTGGTTGTCAGACCGAGGGGCAGAGCTTAACTGTAAAATCGATGTTTTCCAACAAAAATTTAAACACGTTGTAAATAACTTGTCGTGGAAAGAAGATTATGTATATTCAGAAACGAAGGCAAAATTTAAGCCCCGCCCACCCGCCGCCATGTCAATTGTAACGATCTTATTCGTTGTGACCCGAGGGGCGGAGTTTAATGGCAAAATCCTTATTTCTGTATAAGAATTTACCGTCTGAAACATGTTTTTAAGAATGATGGTGTTGAAAGAAACCTGTATATACTACGAAAAAAAAAACAAACAAAAATAAAGCCCCACCCACCCACCCTGATCTCAGTTGTGATGCATTTTTCACTAAAACATGTTTTAAGTACTATCGTATTGTCAAAAATTGACAATTTTGAAAAAAAGAAGACTGTGTAGCCCTCTCTCACCTACTATGTCAACAAATCATGTTTCACATGGCAATTTCTTGTAGGGAAAGAAATATTTTGCATTTAAGCTTATCATCACAATTGAGATAGGGTGGGTGGGCGGGGCTTATATTTTTTATATGTTTCTTTATACACGTAGTCATCTTTTCACAACAAGAACTTACATGTTCCAAATGATAAACTTTTGTTGGGTAATATTGATTTTGCAGTTACGCTCCGCCCCTCGGTCTAACAACAAATGAAAAATTCATCACGATTGAGATCGTCACGGAAGGGTGGGGCTTAATCTTTGGCTATAATTTTTATTTAACATAATACATAGCACTTTTTGACGAACACGATATTCAGAAACAAATAAGTACATGATAATTTCTTGTAGAAAAATAAGTCTTTCAAGCTCCACCCCCTTGGCTCACGATGAGTAAAAAAAATCATCAAACTTACCCTTTTAAACATGTTTTCAGTTTCTTGTAAAAAACAAAACTACGTGCATATATTAAGAAAAACAATGTAAAATTCAAACCCCGCCCACCCAGCCTCGTCTCGATTGGGATAACGTTTTTATTCGTTGTGAGCCGAAGGGCGGAGCTTAACTGCAAAATTCTTGTTTCTCTACAAAAAACTACGAGCTGTTTTTAAGTAACATGTTGTTGAAAAAAACTATATAAGTTAAGAAAAAAAGTAAAAAAATTATGCCCCACCCACCCGCCCCAGTCTCAATTGTGATGAATTTTTCATTCGTTGTCACACCGAGGGGCGGAGTTTAATTTCAAAATCCTTATTTCTGTACAAGAACTTACCGTCTGAAACATGTTTTTAAGAATGACGAAGTTTAAATAAACTTGTATATATTACGAAAAAAAAAGCAAAAATGAAGCCCCACCCGGCCGCACTGATTTCAGTTGTGACCCATTTTTCACTAAAACATGTTTTAAATTTATCATATTGTTAAAAATAGACCATTTTGAAAAAAGAAGACTGTGTAACCCTCTCTACCGTACTATGTCAACAAATCATATTTCATATGATAATTTCTTGCAAAGAAAGAAAAATTTTGCAGTTAAGCTTCGCCCACGGGGCTCACGACGAATAAAAAAATCATCACAATTGAGATGGGGTGGGTGGGCGGGGCTTATATTATACTTTATTTCTTTACACACGTAGTCATCTTTTCACAACAAGAAGTTAAAACATGGTAAATTTTTGTAGGGAAATATTGATTTGTTGTGCTCCGCCTCTCGGTCTGACAACAAATGAAAAATTCATCACGATTGAGATCGTCATGGAAGGGTGGGGCTTAATTTTGGCTTTATTTTTTACTTAATATACATTGTATTTTTTGAAAAAGACGATATTCAAAAGCGTGTTGTACATGATAATTTCTTGTAGAGAAATAAGCTCCACCCCCTTGGCTCACGATGAATAAAAAAAATCGTCACAATTAAAATAGGGTGGGTGGGGGGGCTTATGTTTATTTACCCTTTTAAATATGTTTTCAGTTTCTTGTAAAAAGAAAACTACGTATTAAGAAAAACAATGTAAAATTGAAACCCCGCCCACCCGCCCTCGTCTCAATTGTGGTAACATTGTTATTCGTTGTGAGCCGAAGGGCGGAGCTTAACTGCAAAATGCTTATTTCTCTATAAAAAACTACGAAGTGTTTTTTAATAACATGTTATTGAAAGGAAACTATATATGTTAAGAAAGAAAGTCAAAAAATATGCCCCACCCACCCGCCCCAGTCTCAATTGTGATGAATTTTTCATTGGATGTCACACCGAGGGACATAACCTAATTGTAAAATCGATGTTTCCCGACAAAAATTTAAACATGTAAATATCTTGTCGTGGAAGGAAAATTATGTATTAAGAGAAAAAAATCATGAATCAGTCAGTTTATTGTATTGAATAAATCAAAATATGGTAAAATATATACTTCAGAAGAGAGGGAAGTTCTATCGAAATAAGTTTTGACTAATTTTTTGTATAGTATGCGGTTTAGTTAATTTTAGGATATTTTTTATTCAGCGTGTAGGCAACCAACAATACTGATGTGCGTCATTACCAAACCACAGACTTAATCGATATTTAATGGTTGTGCCAAATATTGTGGAATCTGTCCCACTTGTCTGGAAACTTTTTTATTAATAGACACAATTTTCAAAGATAAAGTTCGGACGGCCTTAACAAAAATACAGAATTATTTTGTTTGAATATACACAAAAATAACACTAGGTAGCAAAATTTTGACTACTGCTTTAGCCTTGTTTAGTAGTTAGATTCTGAATCAAAATGATGTTTCCGAGAATGTTTCCAATACTAACTTATAAATAAAAAAAAAACTTTATCTCTAAAAATTTTGAAACTTTCCTCCGCTGTATCTCATCAAGACCATAAAAGTACGTTTATAGATATTCGGTATCTGCGCCGATTACACTCACAAAAATAAAACTACGTCGTCTAGTTCAAACTCATCCTCAGTTTATAATCGCCTAAACCCAATTCCAACAGCGGCACTTCGAAAAGCAAACTTCTGCGCCAACTCAAATAGCCATTGTTTACAATTACAAAAATTACAATTAAATTTACGATCCCGTTTAATTAAACAAAACCTTCGTTCGGCTTAGTCCAGCGCCGGCTAAAAATTCCAGGATCGTACTCGGCCGCAAACGTGCCCGATAACCAAGAGACAAAATAGCGATTAGCGGCACGTTTGAGCGATGTCGCGCTAATAACGCACGATTTATTTCCACAAACAACGCACAGAAAAACATATTTTGTAACAATGCAACTAAAAATATTTTCAAAGAGCGCAGATAAATCCATACAAACAAAGTATTAATAATTTGTTATTATCGCAAAAAAGTCGGTGAACTTGGCCGTGCTGCCATTGTTACCAAGCCGGAGATGGCACTCGTGGATTACGTAACCCCCCACCTTTTTGGCTTAAGTCACGTCCAGATCCGGCTTTTCGCGTCTTGCCCTTTCGCGATCGGCGCTTTCTCCCATTTTCGCGCTAATTGCGGGCAATTTCGAGCGTACCAGGCACCACGGGCCCCAGTGCCACAAAAACCTGACCTTCCACCGAGACAAGCTGGAAGCGATAAGGCTTAAGTCGAACTCGGAGGAGACTTAAAAATATATTAAGTAATCGCGGTTCCGCGGAAAGTGGGTAAATACGCTCGGCAAAAGATCATATCTGGCTGGAAAAGATCCATGGTTGCTTGACGAGTCGACATTCACCGATCAGCTCGTGAGTAGCGAAGACGCGAGTGCTAAGCGCGGACTTTGATTCCAGTTGACGTCAAGAAGGATCATTCTTGTGCGATACAGTGATGGCTTTCCTTAAGAGCATCTGGAAGACCAACGGGAAGCACCACAGTAAGTCCGTCTTTCTTGGTACTTCATCATGTAGTACCTATACATGTAGTTTTTTTAAATCACCGTGTGTATTCTTTGTATGTTTTTTTTTTTAAACACCCCGTGTGTATTTTTTCGTGTTCGTGTTTGGTTCCATTGTCTGCGCGCCGCGGAATTCCTCCTTATGCAAATTAGCGTAATGAAATTTTCTGTACCATTGGGTACCGCCGTGGTACCGATGAAATATGCACGGGAAACACGCGCTCGAGGCCAGAATAGAAATGAAGCGCAACAACAACACCAATTAAGATTTGTGCGATGCACCCACAGGTACCGATGGTACCAAACGCGGAACCACCAAAATCGCTATCGCAAGTCGGAAAATAAGTTGCATCAGGCCGATGCACCAGAAAGGTGCAGTCTGATGCAATATCGGCTCGACCATGGAATGTAAATTCGGGCCCAGGTTATAATTATCGGTGTCCTTAATATGAGTTTGCATGAAATTCAGCCGCTTATTATCCGCCATTACCCGCAGAAAAATTCGAGTAATTATCGGTCAGTAATTTATGGTAATGATAGGAAATGGAGTGTCGCTCGATTTGTTTTTCTTGGACTTTTACTTGACGCAATCTCTTGTTCTCGTGGGGCTTCGTAAAAAATTCCAGACCTCGTATAATGAGCCCCCTCGGGCTTCGCCATTCCGATTGCGGTAGGACAGTAACGCGTCCACGAGTTGCATCAGGCTCGAACCTGTCTTTTAATTGCGCCTTCCGAGAAATAGGAACAGTTATTGCTTATGATTTATTCAGGATGTTGGCCTCTGAAGGCTGTCGGAAATGCGGGTTGCCTAAGCGCCGATTTCGCCAGCAGGATTCGACGATTTCGGGGGTTATTTTGACTTTGGCCCTCTATTACGCAAAAACACTTTCGATCGGTGGTGCTAACATAAATTATTATGCTCTCTTTGTTGTGTTAATGATCGCTGTGTGGTTTATGGAGGTTGCGTAATCGCGTCTGTTGTTTTACCTTGGTGGTCGCTAAAGTCGTGGCTGTTTATCAATTAATTAAGAAATATTTCTGTTATCTGGCGATTGGAGCGGGTGAAGAACGGCGACGGCACCGAGAGGTGCCATTTCGAAAGTTTATCGGTGGTTTGTTTGATGCTTCTTTGTGTTATCGGTATCAGAAATTCAATGAGAGTCGTTAACAATAATAATTTATTAATGAAGCGGTTATCGCTGGTAATTATGGTGCGTACAGATACGGCGGGTTAATAATATAGGGGAATTGGGACGCTGGCAGAGAACGGCAGGACGTGACGGGTCGCGTTTCGCGGAAAATGACCCTTAATGAGTACGTTCTGGCCGTCTGGCGAGACAAAATTATTCAGTAATATGCAGACAAATTTCTACTTTCTGTCATTTTTGTTTTGAGTGGATCTGTGATAAGGGTCACAGTGGCTCAAACTGGTTTCATCAATGTCAAAGCTGTCGCTTCTTAATTTGTTTTTTTTTTTAAACCTGTCAGGCCACAGAACAATGAGGATGAAGTTGATGATCAAAATTGGTCTAAAATTATTGAAATACAGATTTCCTCGCCTGTGAAGTACAATAAAACTTTTATAGGTAGTTTTTTTTAAATTTTTTTATAACAAGCGCTTGAGAGAGAGAGAGAGCGCATGCTTGTGATTTTTTTTTTGTCAGGTTGACAACATTTTTAAAATTTTGTTTGGTTTTTACGCGCGTTCATGTCAAAATTGACAACTGTGATAGACATCTTAATAATGCTAGCAATAATTCACAATTGCCAACCCAAAAATTTTCTTCAATCATTGATAGTCACTTGGTAGAAGCCGAAAAGATATTATTGGACCCCGAGATACTTTACATCCTTAAAAAAGACAATTGGAGCTCCCCAGATTTTTCGCAACCTTAATAAAGACACCCTAGGGACCACCTGGATTCTTTCGCTTTCTTAGACAAAAAGACAATAAGGGTCCTTGAGACTCTTACAATTCCATAAATAAAAGACACTAGGGGCTCCCGAGATTTTTTCGCATCTAAAAAAAGACACTAGGAGCCCCTGGGATTCTTAGGCATCCATAAATAAAAGACACTAGGGGTCCCCGAGATTCTTACGTAATCTCAAAGAAAAAGACACTTGAAACCCCTGAGATTCTTTCGCATTTATAAAAAAGACACAAAGAACCCCTGAGATTCCTTTACATCTATACAAAAGACACTAGGGGCCCCTGAGATTCTTTCGCAATGTTAAAGGAAAAAACACTAGGAGCCACCGAGATTCTTTTGAAAGACACATTAGGGACCCCTGAGATTCTCACGTAATCTCAAAGAAAAAGACACTAGAAAACCCTGAGATTCTTTCGCATTTATAAAAAAAGACACAAGGAGCCCCTGAGATTCCTTAACTTCTATACAAAAGACATCAGGGGCCCCTGAGATTTTTAGGCATCCATAAATAAAAGACACTAGGGGCCCCTGAGATTCTTTCGCAATCCTGAAGAAAAATACTAAAGGAGCCCCTGAGATTCTTTCGCAATGTTAAAGGAAAAAACACTAGGAGCCATCGAGATTCTTTTGAAAGACACATTAGGGAGCCCTGAGAGTCTCATGTAATCTCAAAGAAAAAGACACTAGAAAACCCTGAGATTCTTTCGCATTTATAAAAAAAGGCACAAGGAGCCCCTGAGATTCCTTAACTTCTATACAAAAGACATCAGGGGCCCCTGAGATTTTTAGGCATCCATAAATAAAAGACACTAGGGGCCCCTGAGATTCTTTCGCAATCCTAAAGAAAAATACTAAAGGAACCCCTGAGATTCTTTCGCAATGTTAAAGGAAAAAACACTAGGAGCCACCGAGATTCTTTTGAAAGACACATTAGGGACCCCTGAGATTCTCACGTAATCTCAAAGAAAAAGACACTAGAAACCTCTGAGATTATTTCGCATTTATAAAAAAAAAGGCACAAGGAGCCCCTGAGATTCCTTAACTTCTTTACAAAAGACACTAGGGGCCCCTGAGATTCTTTCGCAATCCTGAAGAAAAATACAAAAGGAGCTCCTGAGATTCTTTCGTATTTATAAAAAAAGACACAAGGAGCCCCTGAGATTCTTTCGCAATGTTAAAGGAAAAAACACTAGGAGCCATCGAGATTCTTTTGAAAGACACATTAGGGACCCCTGAGATTTTTACGTAATCTCAAAGAAAAAGACACTAGAAACCCCTGAGATTCTTTCACATTTATAAAAAAAACACATAAGGAGCCCCTGAGATTCCTTAACATCTATACAAAAGACACTAGGGTCCCCTGAGATTCTTAGGCATCCATAAATAAAGCACACTAGGGGCCCCTGAGATTCTTTCGCAATCCTGAAGAAAAATACAAAATGAGCCCCTGAAATTCTTTCGCAATGTTAAAGGAAAAAACACTAGGAACCATCGAGATTCTTTTGAAAGACACATTAGGGACCCCTGAGATTCTTACGTAATCTTAAAAAAAAAACACATTAGGGGCCCTTGAGATTCTTTCGCATCTATAAAAAAGACACTAGGAGCCCCTGAGATTCTTAGACATCCATAAATAAAAGACACAAGGGGCCACTGAGATTCTTAGACATCCATAAATAAAAGACACAAGGGGCCCCTGAGATTCTTTCGCAATCCTGAAGAAAAATACAAAAGGAGCCCCTGAGATTCTTTCGTATTTATAAAAAAAGACACAAGGAGCCCCTGAGATTCTTTCGCAATGTTAAAGGAAAAAACACTAGGAGCCATCGAGATTCTTTTGATAGACACAAGGGACCCCTGAGATTTTTACGTAACCTCAAAGAAAAAGACACTAGAAACCCCTGAGATTCTTTCACATTTATAAAAAAAAACACAAGGAGCCCCTGAGATTCCTTAACATCTATACAAAAGACACTAGGGTCCCCTGAGATTCTTAGGCATCCATAAATAAAGCACACTAGGGGCCCCTGAGATTCTTTCGCAATCCTGAAGAAAAATACAAAAGGAGCCCCTGAGATTCTTTCGCAATGTTAAAGGAAAAAACACTAGGAGCCACCGAGATTCTTTTGAAAGACACATTAGGGACCCCTGAGATTCTTACGTAATCTTAAAAAAAACATACTAGGGGCCCTTGAGATTCTTTCGCATCTATAAAAAAGACACTAGAAGCCCCTGAGATTCTTTGACGTCTATACAAAAGACACTAGGGGCCCCTGAGATTCTTACGCATCCATACTTAAAAGACACTAGAGCTCCCTGAGATTCTTACATAATCTCAAAGAAAAAGACACTAGGAACCCCTGAGATTCTTACGCATCCATAAATAAAAAACACTAGGGGTCCCTGAGATTCTTACGTAGTCTCAAAGAAAAAGACACAAGGAACCACTAAGATTCTTTTGGATCTATAGAAAAAGACACTAGGGGTCCCTGAGATTCTTTCGCATCTACATATCAAAAAGACACTAGGAGCCCCTAAGATTCTTTGGCATCTATACAAAAGACACGAAGAGCCCCAGAGATTTTTACGGATCCATAAATAAAAATCACTAGGGACCCCCGAAATTTTTACGTAATCTCAAAGAAAAAGACACTAGGAATCCCTAAAATTCTTTGGCATCTAAAAAAAAAGATACTAGGGGTCCCTGAGATTCTTTCGCAATCCTGAAGAAAAATACACCAAGAGTCCCTGAAATTTTTTCGCAATTTTGAAGAAAAATAAAATAGAAGCCCCTGAGATTCTTTCGCAATGTTAAAGGAAAAACACTAAAAGTCATCGAGATTCTTTGGAAAAGCACATTAAGGACTTCTTTGGCATCTATACAAAAGACACGAAGAGCCCCTGAGATTCTTAGGCATCCATAAATAAACACATTAGGGGCCCCTGAAATTCTTTCGCAATCCTGAAGAAAAATACAAAAGGAGCCCCTGAGATTCTTTCGCAATGTTAAAGGAAAAAACACTATGAGCCGCCGAGATTCTTTTGAAA